TCAATCATATTCCCAAAAGTTTTTTTCTTTTTGCCATTAAACCTGCAGCTTTTTGACAGTGATGTCATTTGCTGCCATTTGAGGTAAACACAGCCATGAATCTATGAATTCAAGTGAACATAGTTTCACACCTCAGTGAAAAGTTTTCATGTAAGAAGTTTAAGGTGGAAAGAGGAAACAGTTTATGCTAAAAAATCCTTTAAAAAAGGCTTTAAGAAATTGGGATTTTGTATTTAGCCCATGACCTCGTGAACAGCTGAACAGTACTGTTAGGAATAAGAAGCAACAGTCCTAAAGTGGAGTTACTTGTGCTAAGCTCCACACCAGCCAAGATTTAATACCTCCCCAAACTGCAGTTTTGGCCTGTCCCAGGATTGTAATCATTAACTAGTGAATCTGGAATTACCTGGTTCAGTGTTTATGAGGTAATCCACCTAATAGATCCCCTCTGGCCCCCCTAGGAAGGTGACCTTGCCTGAAACCATCTACTCTTGAGATCTCCTTTTCCCACCCTCTTCTGTCTATAAAAGCCTTTCGTTTTGTGCAGCAATTCAGAGCGCCTGTTAGATGGAATGCTGCTAGATTCATTAATCGCTGAATTCAGTCAATTGGATCTTAAAATTTACTCAGTTGAAGCCTTTTTTAGAACAGTATTTTCTTTGTGCTCATGAAGAACAGGAATCTAGTTAGTCAGCACATGCTCACTTATTCCTTCTTGGAATTTTATCAGATATCTGTTCTTGTACATAGTGCTGAAGATGGCTTATTCTTGTCATAGGATAGGGAAGAAATGCCCGTTAAAAGGTGTAATTGAAATGGTGGGATAGGAGAAGGGCACCTAATAAGCCTGGCCGAATTAGGAAAGGCTTCCTGAAGTTGACCATAAAAGGACTAGCAGGAGCTGTGTGTAAAGGGGTTTGGTGGTCAAAGTTAGGGGAAGGAGCCTTCCAGACACTGCAGCGTGGGATGGTTGCAAGGCATGCAGTGTCTTGGGAGACCAGGTGAAGAGAAGCCTGGATTGGGAGTCATTATGTATACATTTTTTCTTCAATGAATTGGTGTAACAAAAGTAAAAAAAAATTAAGTCTCCCGCCTTTCCTTTCAGGAAGCCCTTGTGCATCTATCTATAACTTTCTTTTGTACAAACCTGAAAAGTATGTGCACTTACTCTGCACATAGCTTTTCTTTTGGGAGGAGCCCCAGGGACTGAGGCCGAGGTGAGAAAAGGGCTACCCTGGCTCCTGGACTCTCACACCAGCCCAAACCACTGGCCTGCTTTCTGTGAGCTTTCGGGCCTTAGACCCTCTAGGCACACAGTGGGGTCTCTGTGCCCTTGCTCCAGGTCAGGGTGAAGCCAAGCATTGCTGGAATCTGGCCTGCATCCTGGGCTAGGGAGTCTCTGATGAGCTCTGGGTGCTGTGCACCTGCTGGAGCCAACTATCAGAGGCTGGAGGTGTCTAATGGTACCACCATGGTACCACTCTACCAAGAGATGACAGAGATCATGTTATTGGCCTCTTACCAGTATCAGTGGGAGACGATAAGCAAATAGGAGCTTGATGGCAGTAACCAATGGCATACAGCAGTCCCTCCTTATCTGTGGTTTCAGTTACATGCAGGCAACTGCGGCCCAGAAGATGATCCTCCTCCTGACATAGCATCAGAAAATCAAACGGAGCCTAACACCATGTCATAATGCTTTAATCATTCACCTCACTTCATCTCCTCATGTGGGCATTTTATCTCACATCACAATGGTGAGTACAGTACAGTAAGCGATTTTGAAACCACATTCACCTTTTATTACAGTATGCTCTTGTAATTGTTCTACTTAGTTTTTGCTGTTAATCTTACTGTGCCAAATTTATAAACATCATAGGTAGGTGTGCATGTATGTATGTATAGGAAGAAACCTAGTATGTAGCACTCAGGACTGTCCTAGGTTTCAGGCCTCCATAGGACGTCTTGGAACATATCCAAACTGTATGGTGGGGCAGGGACAGAGGTGGACACCTGCATCTCTTCTGAAACAGCATGTTGTCAGGTAGCTAGGGAAGTAGGTACTCAGCTGCAGCCTACTAAGGTACAACTGGTATCTTTCTTCAGGACTTACAACTTAAAATACAAGGCAGTAAAGTTTACTCCAGGAGGGTAAATATATTTGTCCTATCTCTTACTCAATTGTTAAATTTGTGACTCTGGGGACACCTGGGTGACTCAGTTGGTTAAACATCCGACCCTTGATTTCCACTCAGGTCACGACCGGAGTTTCATGGGTTTGAGCCCCACGTCAAGCTCTGATTTGGTAGCGTGGAGCATGTTTGGGATTCTCTCCATCTCTCTTGCCCTTCCCCCACTCATGCTGTTCCTCTCAAAAAAATAAATTTGTGATTCTGGAAACATTGAAGATCTGAGGATGGGATTTCAAGACAACCTCCTTTTAAATCTCAAGTACAATTATCTTCACCAGTTACTTTTCAACTTGTAGTACTATGACTAAGAGCCCTTCCTTCCTATGTAAGCAGTCTTATTTAATTCTCTAACTACTCCATGAAGTACAGCCTATTATGGTTCCCATGATACATATGAAGAAAGGGACTTCCGGAGGTTCCCATACCTTGGCTCATGGAGCACACAATGAAAGCCAGGTGCAATTCCAAAGCTCAATTTCTTTCTCCTTTGAATCTTGCTATCAGCCGCTTCTCCTTAGGTCTGGGAACAGGCAAAGAATGCATGAATTGTTTCTCCACAATCCATTATAATTTATTTACCTAAACTGACCACAGGGAGTGAGACCAGTAAAAGAGCACTGAATGACAACTGGGACTGCAGTTTTTACGGTTACTTACTTGGGCCAGAGCAGTGGTTCTGTCACCTGGTAAATAAATCAAAGGTAAATTCTCAGGTCCTGTCCCTGATCTCTGGGATCACCAGCTGTGGCACTGGGGCTCAACAATCTCGCTGTTTAGAGATTCAGAACACTAGAGGGCAATTTCTCCACCCCTTAAGTGGATGTTTTGATTCTTGTTCTGCCTCACAAGGTTGTGGAAGATAACCCAATTAAATGATAAAGGTTCAGGACTCCCTTGAGTGTATTTTGCTATAGCTTGCTGGCAGTTCCATTCACTGCATTTTTAGACCATACACATTTCCCCACATTATTTCAGAAGAGAAATTGTAATGCAGTATACATCTCCCTTGGTCTGAGCCTCCAACTTTTTAAAAAGTTTAACGTTTATTTACTTTCGAGAGAGAGCGTGCATTTGAGAGTGAGCAGGGGAGGGTCAGAGAGATGGAGCCATAGAATCCAAAGCAGGCTCCAGGCAGCCCGGAGCCTCAAACTTCTAACTGCAGTATCAAGGGCTGCCATTATTTGACTTTCTCTTAGCAATGCATTATCCTAGATGGTTAACAGGACGATGTCCCTATGTTGGTAAGTGTTGGACCTTGGCTCTTCATAAACATCCTGGTGCTTAAAGCTACACCCAGCTCAATTATGTTAAAATCCCAGAGGTCGGGGTGGAGGTGGAGGGGAAGGGCTCAAATGTTTCAGTTTCCTAGGTAATTAGTGTAGCCAAGGTTGAGAAACAGTACCATATGCAGAAAAGACTTGATGTAATTTCACATACAGGATGATCTGCCACCACATTCCATCAGCACCCTCATGGGACATTGTTTCCTACAAGTATGAAACAATGGAGAAGGCATCAGAGCATTAGTGCTGCGGCACTGGAACTCCACTTGTGTGCATGCACATGCCTTCCCTATGGCAGACTTGGTCATAAAGAGAGGACTTTGGTCCAAGTTCTTGGGCAATTTTTAGACTACAGTTTCTGCCTCTCCAGGTTAACTATTTTTTTCTTTGATTTTTCTTATGGTATGTGAAATATGTTTAACTATTTTTAACTGTATAATTCAGTAGCATTACATTAGTAATATTCAACGCCTTTGTGCAACCATCCCTGTTTATCTGAAACTTTATCACAACCAATTAAGCACCAACCATTCCTCTTCCCCCTAGCCCTTGGTAACTGGTCTCAATTTGCCTAGATAGGTCATTTAAGCATACATCCACATACATTTGTATGCATACAATTTAACCTTTGTCAAACACACACACACCATCACATTTTGTGCGTTAATTGGTTATGGTTTGCTCCCCCTTTGGCTACTGTGACTTCTACAAACACTGGAAGCAAATATCTCACGTATACTAGTTATAGGCGTTTTGAGAAACTGTTCAACTTTCCAATACCAGATGCACCATTTTACGTTCTTACCAATGAGGTACAGATAATTTCAATGTTTTCACCCATTTTCATTTTGGATTAGTAGGTGTGAAGTGGTATCTCACTGTGGTCTTAATTTATTGTTGCCCTCATGACTGATGTTGAAATCCTCATATTTTTCTTAAGATGCTATATATTACAATACAGCGTTCTTTGTAGAAATTTAAGATTTGTTATGCTTTCCCGAGTACGTGGCATCATCATATCCAAACAGAAGGGTAGCTGTGTGGTACAGACTAAAACCAACAATGTAAGAAATGGCCTTAATTATGAATGTCACTATGACAAACACTGAAAAGTGTGGAAACTCCTTAAGTTTTAGTTTCTCCGTTTTAACTTCACTGTTCTCTGCGGGGAACTTAGATGTGGGCCATATCTGGGGAAATGTTTAACCTTTCAGATTACAGGAAATGCAGCAGAACCAGGATAAATGGGTAAGAACTTTCACATTCTCACACCAGTGTTTGTAAAGTTTTTAAAACCTCTTTTGGCTCATTACTTACCCCTCACCCACTTTCACTCCCCACCCTTAACATTTAACTGTAGTTAAGACCCCTCACCCACTTTCACTCCCCACCCTTAACATTTAACTGTAGTTAAGTACAATTTTCAATTACCCAGAACTAAGTTAAATGACAAATTACCTATCTTAGTGAAAAGCCAAGGCTTTTAATCTAGGGGAAAAAAAAGCCTGTAGTGACACACTGGAAATGCTTTGTAATCAGTATATTAAGGAGACATTCATACATTTCAAGAATTGCTTAATTCTGATATCCAGATTTAAGCTTGTGAACATGAGTTTTAAACATACAATTAAAGCTATTCATAATCTGCTATACTACCAACATCAAATTACAGTTACTTCAGAGCGTTAAGTTAAATGGTTTAAGTAAGCCTGTAGCATACCTACAAAACACCTTCCTAGCTCATACATGCAAATTCGCTTCTCTGTGTAAATGTCTCTTTACTCTAAGTTACCCTGCTCCCAAAGTCACTACTCTGAAGTTTATCATGGTCCAAAGAGAAGGAAAAAAAGGGTAACCAGGACTGATATATATATATATGTTTAAAAAAAAGATGGCACAGCAGAAGGGAATGCAATTCTCCAAGTGCAAGCCCTCAAACAGCAGATAAACCCCTTCTTTAGAAAAGTATCCTTTCCATCACGGATACCACAGGCCAAATTATACAGCATGCCATCTTCAACTAACAGCTGAGGCAAGAGAATAAATGCAGAAGCATCACAATGAATCCCACCTAACAGAACTACAGACCAACACCTCTCTACGAATTTAAGTTATTTTTCTGATTCCCAATTAAACACAAGTTTTAACTTCATAGCTTAACAATTAAGGGTCATACACTGAAGTCAATACATATACCTAGCATTTCAGTCTAAACTATTTCATGTACATAGAGCTGAAATCAATTACAAGGTAGGGTCTAAGAAATGCTAGGGGAGATTTTTTTAAAAGTAGTTTTTACAAGTATTAAACTTATCTTGCACACTGAAGTCATCATACATACAGGGCAAAGTCAGAGCTTTTATATATTTTATTCTTCATTTAACTTTTAAAACACTACTATATTGAATATTAAAACAAAAACAATAGCAAGTAGTGAGCTATGATTATAGTCCTTCACTTGTTCACTACTGCACATAGAATGCCAGCAGTGTTGTTCACTGGCCCCATTAAGAGGTTTGACACTGAACACCTCCCCTAGGGTGATGTTCATCATCCTCATATGCTTCTCCATTGAAATGGCGCCGTCTTTCCTGATTTGGATCAAAGTCCACCAGTTCTACCTGGTCCATTTCATCAGTCTCTTCTACTTCTTTCCTCTCAGGTAGGAGTTTTTCCAGCAAAGAGAGTTTATCAGGAGAGAGAAAGCCATTCTCAGGGAAGTTTACCTATAAAAAGAAATCTCCACTGTAAGTTCCAGTTTGATTTACTTAACCATTAGCTCCTTGGACATATTACTGTTGATGCGTTTTCCCCAGGAAAAACATGTGGAAACATTATCTTTTGGTGAATCTGCCAAAACACATGTTCTAAAAGGCACAACAGCATCTAGCTAGTAGCCTTAACTAGAATTTAAGGCACTAAACAACTTCATTTGAGTAAAATTGCACTGTGATAATTATGGTCCTATTCAGCCAGTATGAGAACCCACACTAATTCCTTATAACAGAATTTAAACAAAGCTATTGTTCCTACAAAAAAAAAAGCAGCTCTTTGCCCAAAAATGATTTTTAAATTAAAAAAAAGTTTATTTACTTTTGAAAGAGACAGACAGAGACAGAAGGAGTGAGGGAGGAGCAGAGAGGAAGACAGAATCTGAAGCAGGCTTCAGGCTCTGAGCTGTCAGCAGAGTCCAATATGAGGCTCAAACCAATGAACTGGAAGTTCATGACCTGAGCTGAAGTCGGACGCTTAACCAACTGAGCCACTCAGGCGCCCCCCGCCCTCCAGTATTTTTAATAAAAGCGGTTTTTGTTGGTCAAGGGCCAAGTTTAGATTGAAAATAATGGTTGGGGGTTGCTTTATGAACCATCCTGTTAACCAAGTACTGTAGTATTTTACCAAAAAGCCACAACAGTTCTTGGAAGTGGTTCTGCTGAACTAAATTTAAGATCCTAACTATAGCCTTGCATTAGAGCTCATTTCTTCCTCAACAAGGAAAAATGTACCTTACCATTCAGAAAAATAACTGTTATTTTAATAAGCTAATCATTGTTGCATATTCTTAGACTCCTTTATAACTTACCTTAAATTCAATGATTAGGCGTCCTTTTTCATATGGTCTACGATAAATTGGCATGCCTTCATTCAGCACACACTTGATATCTCCATGCTTGACAATCTGACCTAAAAACACAGAAGTCATGTTTTCTTAAATATAATCATATTTTTATTAAGTGGGGAAAATTACAGAGGTATGTCCTAGCTCATAAATAAATTCATGTGAAGCAATTCAATTATCTTTCAGTTTTTAAGGGCTTCCTCAAGTAACTCAATACCATACAATTTCAGCGCAGGTCACAGGAAAGACTTAATTGAACAAATAAAACATGCTTTCTCAGTGCCTATGCTAATTAGCAGCTGGCCCTGAAAAATACTGTAATACATCAACAAACTTCTCTGCATTATCATACCTGGGTGAGAGGTGATGACAATGGTTCTGTTGTCAAGAGTAGATATTGGCTTTTGGAAGCCGCACAGTGCTTCAACCAGCTGTATGTCCATACACATGAAAAGATCCTCTCCTCGCCTGAATCAACATAAATATAACATACATTCACTTCTTTCAAATCACCAGTGATTAAAAGTACCACAGCGCCTGGGTGGCTTAGTCGGTTAAGCGTCCCAACTTTCGCTTAGGTCGTGATCTCGCGGTTTGTGGGTTCAAGACCCACGTCAGGCTCTGTGCTGACTGCCAGCTCAGAGCCTGGAGCCTATTTCAGAGTCTGTGTCTCCCTCTCTCTCTGACCCTCCCCTGCTCACGCTGTCTCTCTCTCCAAGAAATAAATAAAAAATATTAAAAAAAAAATTTTTTTTTAAAGTACCACAGCAGGCAATTCTGTTTTCTTAACAGCAGTTCTCTTTCACAGAGATGTCCTTTCTTTCCCCATTCTCAAAACAGCTGTGATCTAGAAATAGCAAATATATGAACCCTGCCAACCACTTCCTGGGTAAGACTTTAGGATCCTTTCACACATTCTAGGCAGCCTCTACTACTTACCATCCCTGAGTTTTTTCATTACCTTATTTTAAATCTGGTTTCTCACATGGGGGAAAAAAGTTTTCCCACAACAGTGGGGCTTAAAAAAAGGCAGGTAAGGTATTAAGGAGGAAAGGACATAATAGTGTGAGACAGAAGGACTCCAAGCTGGGTCCCAGATTTAGGTTCTGTGTAAATAATGGGGATGACCAATTCCAAACAATACAAGAATTTTTTACTGGCATACATGAATTACTAATATAGTGCTTTGCATATTATGAACGCTTTTCCTATATTTTATACAGCCCGCTTCCTCCTTGTGCTTAGACTTTCTTTCCCAGTTCATATTAATAAAATATCTTTTTTATGAAGAGTACTCTCCAAAAATAAAAACTTGTAGACTCAGGGATGCCTGGGTTGCTTAAGCACCTGACTCTTGATTTCAGCTCAGGTCAGCAGTTCCCGAGTTTGAGCCCCACATCAGGCTCTGTGTGATAGTGCAGAGCCTGCTTAGGATTCTGTCTCCTTCTCTCTCAAAAATAAGCCTTGAAACTGAAGGGGCGCCTGGGTAGCTCAGTCGGTTAAGTGTCCCGACTTCGGCTTAGGTCATCATCTCACGGTTCGTGGGTTCGAGCCCCATGTCAGGCTCTGTGTTGACAGCTCAGAGCCTGGAGCCCGCTTCCGATTCTGTGTCTCCCTCTCTGACCCTCAAAAACAAAATAAAAAAACCCCTGAAAAAAAAAAAATAGTAAGATTCACCTCAAATGAAACTATCAAAATCCTGACTTTGGTAGCATTTCCCATTATTTAAGACACTTGTAGGAATTTTCTTTTTCACTAACTCAAAACCAGTTCCTTCAAATGTCATTTCCAACAGATTTACAGGAACGCTACTCTTGTCCAATGCTTTAAATTAGCAATGGCTATATATTTAACACATGAGTTCACTCTAAGATAATAAACTCAGTATTATTTCACAGCAACAATTTATATTCTAATTTAGTTTTCTATAGAGGTTCTACACAATTGTTTACAATTAAAAGCAACTCAACTTGTAACAAACTCTGGATTGAAAGGGGCAAAATTTAGGTTATTTCAAATTAACTGCTTAGACAAAGACGGTTTAGGAATGGGTTTCCCTAGTCCCTCTGTTTATATTCATACAAAACAACTCTTAAGTATATCCTTTAGGTGATAATTTACCTAAACTTACACCAAAATCAAAATCTCATCTTTGTTTGCAGCCTATTGAAACAATGGTTAACAACCTTTTAGGAAAGATGTCATATATAACCTACCTCTCCTGCTACGCTTTTCTGCACTATTTCCAAGAAATATTTTTAGAGTAATGAAAAGCAAATTTAAAAAAATGGGTTTTGTTACTTTGAGTAACTGATAAAAGTTTTTACCGAGTAAAAACAGCATGGTCCTTCTGATCTAAAACAATGATAATATCTCCTGGTTCCAGTCCAGGTTCTTGGTCTCCTTCACCATGGAATGTTATCTTCTGGCCATCTTTCATGCCTAAAAACAAAAAATTAGTTTCATACTCTTAACATCCAACTAAGGTCAAAATCTTTACTAAGAAATTGATGCATGTTTGTGCATGCATGAAAAAAAATGCTCAAATCTTTGTAGATGCTAAGTTTACCAAAATGACTAAGAATGCCCACATGATTCAGTCAGTCCGATTTCTTACTGAAGAAACCAATCATAGTGTAGAACACAAACCCTAGTTGCAAATTCATGTGAGGTTCCAAATCTCAGAGCTGCTCTTTACTACTAGAGCTGAATTACCCTGGGGAAGCAAGTTGCATAACATTCCAAAACAAATACCAACTTTCCCAGAGACCTACCTCATCAGGACTGTTTCGAGAATAAAAAAAGGCCCATGCTGCCAACCAAATCAGTTGATTGGCAAACATAACCATAAACATTAACTATAAATTTACTTATCCTGTCTCCTGAACCAATCACTGAGGGGACCCAAACAAGAACCACTTTACTTATGAAACATAGGAAATCCCTATATGTAGCCAAAACTGTAACTAATTCTTATGTATATACATCCATCAAACTATATCCAGCAGCTATCATCTCATGACCAATACTTCATGTATTAATTATATAGTACCTTCATCCATGTCCCCTCCCATTTTGAAACAAAATCTAGATACAACAATACTTGAGAATGTACTTCTAAAAAACTAAGAACTTAAACCACAATACCAGTATTACATAGAGAAAACTTAACAGTTTGTCTTTATTCGTGAGGCCAAGTTGCTGTCTTGTTACAATAGTGAGGCCAATCAACTTAGTTTTGCTGGATGTTCCACTACTATAAAAAGGCACGGATAAAAAGCAGCAAATATGGCTTCACTTACAACTAATGCCCTCCTGAAAACATACTATTGGTAGCAAAAAGGGATGTCCTATCAGAGCAAACAAATTCCAAACCTGACTACACATAGACCAATTGAGAGAGGAAAAGAATAAAAACAGTACCATGATTCACGCAAAAAGAATACAATTACAGAGGCTTAAGTTTATGCAGATTTATCGTAGTAATATGGAATGAGGTTCATATGATAGACAGTTCCATCAGTATGCACATTATGTAATAGTTTCATTTTAAATTAGCCATGTCTGAAAAACACTGTCACATATTAAGTTCTTACTCAGTTAATAAAACATGTTCATTAGTTTAGAAAAATTTCAAGGAAATAGGAGACCCCCAGAATTCTTCCCTTAAAACACCCCCCATCCTTAAAAGGCACATCCTGGAGTGCCGGGCTGGCTCAGTGAATGGAGCATATTACTCGATCTCCAAGTTGTGAAGTTCGATATTAAAAAAAAAAAAGAAAGAAAAAAAAAAAGAAAATCAAGCTTAGAACACTATTCAGTTATTTGCTGATGTCAGTGTTCTATTAAGGAAGGAGATCTCTGAAACATTCCCTACAAATACACAAAAACTTCAAAAAACTTGGATGAGAAAACATTCACTATGTAGCTAAAAGTTTATTTGGAAAATCATACATTACCTATTAAAGGTAATTTTTAACAATTATAAAATGTAGTATTAATAAACCTTGCACAGCATTTAATAATTCAAAGCAAGTAATTCAGAACTCACCTTTGTCAATATGAACTTCTAGAATCTTCTTTTCTCGAACTATCTTCCTTCCATTGCAGCTTTTACATCTATCTTTAGGACTGATCCTTTCCCCATGGCCCTGGCACTCCATGCACACAGACTGAATTTGCTGAACCATTCCAGGTCCTATCTGATGAATTCTTAATTGCAATCCAGTACCTCGGCAATTGGGACAACACTCTACTGCTCCTTTCTTTCCACCTCGGCCTTCACATTTGTCGCAAATCACATTCTTTTGCAGAACTAGTTTTCTTGTTGCACCATTATATAAATCTTCTAAGGTTACAGAGAGCTGATGCACAACATTTTTACCTAGAATAAAAGATAGTTAATTAAAAATCTAAGAGGTTACTTAGGTTTGTGTTCATTGCACTTCAAAAACAGTAAAGGGTAATGAAAGACTAGTCTCACAGGACACATCTGTTGAGCACCTACTGCATGCATAGAAGTTGGCCACATTATCACATATGACCCGCAAAACTGTGATGTAATTTCAGATGAAGAAAACTGGATGACATTAAATAATATGCCAAGGCCATTTTATAAACCAAGCCAATCAAAAACCTCAACTGGAAGATCACTTGGGAAACTGATGTTAAATAGGTTTCACAGTAAGTTAATCCAAACTGTATCTCTGTTCTAATATACTCTAAACCTTTCACTTAGTATGGTATTGAACATGGCCAATTTCTTCATTCAAAAATCCTTCAGCTCACTGAATTCCAACTTAGCAAAATTCACCAGGAAAGCAGACATATTTATTCAGTCTCTATAGAAGGCTATCAATATGCACTTCTTTCTGAAAAGTAGCCTATTTCCTTTTGGGGCAACAGTAGTTAAAAGACTATTTCTGATATAGTGCTGTTCAATAGACCTTCCTGCAATGATAAAAATGTTTTATATACATGATACCTAATACAATAGCCACTAATCACATGTGGTTACTTAGCACCTAAACACGGCTACTAAAGAAATTTTTGCTATATAAATATGTCCAATGGCTATAATGCAGTGCCATATCACACCTTAACATGTGATGTGGAAAGCAGAGATTGTATAAGGATACAAAGGCTACAGAGAAGTCACCTGCCAATAGTTAATAAGTTTCTAGCTAATGAGCCTTCCACAATGACTTTTATCCACCACAAATGAGTACTGACTTACACTTCAGTGAAAAAAGCTCCTTTGCTATTATCTTTAGAACATACCTAATGAGTATTTTTAGTTTCCAAAGAAGCATGATTAATTATTGTTTTCCTCCTAGGTCCATCTTTGGTTCAGTATCAATACAACTCCATGTAGTTCCTTCTGGCATGCTAAAAGCTGCCCTTTCTACTTTACCTTTATACATTTGAGACTACAGAAAAGGGGGGGGAACCCCACAAAACTCCTGAATGTGTTTATCCTCCAGTACCATGACCAAAAATCCTTTTATTAATCCAAACTGACTTTGCTAGTCAATTCCTTAAAAAAAAAAAAAAAAAACCACTTTTTTTTTTTATAAAAACTGCTGTTTTTCTGTGGGACAAATCATCCTAACTTATTGCTTAAGATCCTTAAACTACATTTTTGTTAAGTGTTAAGGATACATATTTTAATAACACTGAAGCATAATTAAACAGACTGTAAACGATTTGAAGGTAATAAACCTATATTCCATTCCTGACTGATGCCTTGCTATGCAGGAGCTTCAGGAAAATTTAAATTTCTGAAACTTAACTCATTTTGAATAAGGCCACATACCTCTTCCAATGGGCTGGGGAGTGTCAAATAGCTCTAAAAAGGGTTTTGAATATGATGTTCCTATACTCTATTCCTTTCATTAAGGGTTGATAACCTTCCTAACGTCATACATATTGGGAGAGCTTTACAAGCACTGGCTAGAACTTGACTGACTTAGCTATTTTTGGTTACATAAATCTCCATTTAAAAAAATACATCAAAGTGGCAGTTTGTCAGTTTGCAACTTTATACCAACATGTAAACAAGCATTTCAAATAGGTGATTTCTCAAGAATTTGCCTTCACAAAGGGCTACTTTAATTTGCTGATGTGGACTAAGTTGTTCTTACCTCTCCTTTCTCTTTGCATCCTTCCTCCTCCTCCAAAAAACATATCAAAGATGTCCATGGGGGAGCCAAAACCACCACCTGCTCCACCTTCTTTAATTGCCTGTTCTCCTCCTTTGTCATATAATTCCCTTTTCTTTGCATCAGAGAGCACTTCATAAGCTTGAGAAATCTGTTTAAACTGTTTAAGAAAAAGAAAATTTCCCTTAAAAACGTGTTGCAAAAGTCTCTCTTTGTATTACACATACTCATTGTCAGGTCGCAATGAAATACTATACACCTGGCAAAGAATTACACAGCTACATTTAAGACTGAGCACATTTAAAAAAAAAAAAAAAAAAAGAGGAGTACATCACTTGCCTTCTCTCCTTCATTTGGATTCTTGTCAGGGTGGTACTTCAAAGCCAATTTCCTGTAAGCCTTTTTCAATTCTTCCTGGGTGGCATTGGGTTTGACCCCCAAAACATCGTAGTAAGTAGTTTCTTTCACCATTTTCTACAGCCTGAAATAAAATCCAATTTTAACTGACTTTCAACTAGTAATTAGTAAAAATCAGACTTAAGGCAGAGAAATCTTCTCTTTCCCAAATTTGATAGAATGCTACCTTCTCTGAACTTCAGAGAAGGTAACAAATCCTTTGGTAATTCAGCGATGAATTCTTAATAGCAGCTAGTAATTTTTTAGGAAATAATTCACAGGACTTTATAGTAGCTGGTCCCCACTCTCCCACAGGAAAGCTCCATACTTAACGCCACTATTATCTGGATTCTTCCTGTTTCTCTTTCCCAGTACTGACAGCAGTAATCAAAAAGAGCACCAATAGGCTCAGTTCTTACGTTATTATCTTCCGGTAAATCGGATAAGCCATACACTCCCTAGATAAAAAACATTTGGACACGGGGGAGGAGGAAAAGGAGTGGTTTATGAAACTGATTAAAAGCGCCAGAAAGCAATCCCCCCCCCCACCCCGCAACCCTAAGGGTGTTTCTCAATCACAGAACTTATAGCATCTCTGCTTTGACCACGAACACCTCTCGCATTCACAAGCCAGCGTAGTTTCCATGTCTTTAGGTTGCCCCTTACATTAGGTGCAGACCGTTATGGTTTTATTCCTCCCACCTGGGACCAAAGGGGTGGGAGAACCCCAGCCAGCCCTCAACAAAGAGAAGGAGAGGAGACTGGAGATGCGACCGCAGCCTCCGCCCCGCTCCCTCCGCAGCCCCTGGCCCCCCTGGCTCCTTCCGCGCGTGCGCGAATTGTCGCCCACCTCCCCCCCGCCCCCCAGCAAGCCAGGGCGGAGGGGCCGCGGGGCCGCGGGGCCGCGCAGCGGGGGGGGAGGGGGGTAGAAAACCGAGGGCTCCAAGTCCTTAGGGACCTCAGGCTAAATACTGAGTGGAGAATGCTTCAGAAAACATCTCGGGCCCACTCACCGCGTGCTGAAGATTGCCGCGACACCACACCAGCCCTCCCCACAAGAGAATCGTGGATACAGGAACCGACAACCCTCCCGCCCACGCGGAGCCAACCGCCTCCGACCGCGGCTCCATCCGGCTCCCCCATGCCGACAACGGCACTGGCCTTGGGACGAGGGGAAGCGCGAGGGCTGAAACTCACCGGTGAGCGGGCCGAGGCCGGTGTGGGGGAGCGGGAAGCAGCGCGTTGCTGGGCGCAGCTCTGGCAGCCGCCGCTCCTCCGCTTTCCACCGAGCGTTCTGGAAAGTTCCGCCCGGCGCGCCGCAGCCGTCGTCTTTTGTAGCCGAGTCCAGGCGCGTCACTCGACGGAAGTCCCGCCCCTCTCACCGCTGCCACCGCCCCGCGGTTACCTGGGCAACGGCGCGGGGGCGCTCGGACTGGGAGGAGCTGTGCCGAAGGGCCTTGTGGGGGTGGGCGCAAGCCTAGGTTCCTGGTGCTCGTGGAACTTTCTGGAGTTCCTTCCTCCACCCTGTGGCCCCGCGAGCGCGGAAGTCTTAGGCGGGAGCGGGTGTTGCTCAGGAGCAGTGCAATTCCAGGCTAAGTCCGGATTCCCAAATCTGTGGGGCCGTCGCCGCCGCCTTGATGGCGGGGAGGGTTTGGGGACAGAGCCCCGTGCGGGAACTGAGTTCGGAACGGGAACAAAGCCCTGCCTTATCTCCTCCCCGCCAGCTCCTCTTTTTCCTTTTTGGGCGTCTCTGACTGGCTGTGTTCTTCAGCCTTGAGATTCTGGAAGCCCGCTAGGGAAGAAATGCCGAGCAAAGGGGCTTGGGTTTGCTCTGGGCAATCTCACAGGCCTTGGATCTTGCTCCTTTTCACGCATAGTCCGTGGCCTTGTAATCCACTAAATTGCAAGTGGGAGGAGTTCTTTATGAAAGTCCAAGCCCCTGTACACGAGTTATTTGCCTTGGCCCTTGTTGTGTCCTACACGTTGGACCCAGGGAACTGGTTGAAATGCCTTGGTGCGAACTTAGGGTCTTGGACTCCTGGCCTGGCATTCACCCCGTTTGGCTAGCGAGGGGCAGCAAGAGTGGCTAACATGGTTTTAAGTGTTTGACCTAAATTTTAAGCCCCACCAGTCTGTGAACTTGGATTTACGGTCTATAGAGTGAGTATATGCGTTTTCAAATGCTGGGACCAAAGGTGAAAAACCCGGTTCACGTTGTGTAACCCTTAGTGGGGAACCAGACATGTCAATGGACATAAAGGAACCACAAAATAGAGGTCAGCAGGGGAGAGACTCCTATATCAAATCTGGTGGAACTGAGTTTTAAAGGAGAACAACTTTCCCAGAAAAGGCAAAGCACAAGGGAAGGCCCAGAGGTGAAAGAATGTGATGCTTCTAGGAAATTGCAAGTAATTGGATACTGCCAGGGCTAAGGCTGCTGGTGGCAGGAGGCTAGGCTTAAGAGGTACTTGAACACCGTTTTGATACATCTTGCTAAGCTAAGAATTTTGAACTTTACTCTGGAGGCTTCATGATGGGTACCTTTTCAGACTCACACCAAGCTATCTGCAGTTTTCCCCCAAAATGCTTCACTTCTCTGCTTTTGCTCTGGCTGACAAGACTTTATTTATTTTATTCATTCATTCATTTATTTATTTATGTTTCTTTTTGAGAGACAGAGACAGCGTGATTGGCGGAGGGGCAGAGAGACAGAGACACAGAATTTGAAGCAGGCTCCAGACCTGCTATGCTCTGCTTTCAGCACAGAGCCCCACTCAGGGCTCAAACCCACAAACAGTGAGATCCTGATCTGAGCCGAAGTCTGATGCTTAACCTGCTGAGCCACCCAGGCGCCCCTGATGAGACCTAATCTTTGTAGTCTTAGACATTACTTTCTCAACTTACCACCTCTGGTGTACACTTTTTTTTACTTTAGCTGACACTTATTAAAAGCTTAATACTGCCAGGCAGAGCACTAGGGTTTGGTAATATAAAAATCATTCAAATCATGTTTCCTGCCTTCAAGGATCTCATCACACAAAAAAGGACGAATTGAATTATAAATGCCAGTAAAGGAAGAGTATTGAGGTGCCGAGTAGCGGAACCTTGCCCCATCCAGGTGGGTATCCCAGATCAAGAGAGCAGCAAGTATAAAAACAGGAGCAATTAATAGAGAACAGTAACAATAAATTTTGTTCATGTGTTTTGAGGTGTTATAGTTCTAAAATTCCAACTTTACCATAGTGTAAACTATGCGTTTGTGAATCTAACATTGGTTAAGCATATGAAATAAGTGGAATATATATCAAATCACTTTAACTGAGTTTCCCCAATAAATAGTACTGTGTCTAGTGTTTCTTAAGTATTACTGTATTTAGTGTTTCCTTTAGCCTCAGGAATCCAGTTGGAATTTCCACAACTTTTAGAAAGATGGAGGTCAACATAAGGCTATAAAATGTGATACAGAAAAACCCTTTTAAAACCTGCAAACGAAGTGAACTAAATTCTTTATTAAGAATAAAATAAGGGGCATAAAAGTTTTTTTTTTAATGTTTTTTAATGTTTTTTATTTATTTCTAGGAGAGAGAGAGAGAGAGAGAGAGACAGCATGAGCAGGGGAGGGTCAGAGAGAGAGGGAGACACAGAATCTGAAACAGGCTCCAGGCTCTGAGCTGGCAGTCAGCACAGAGCCCGACGCGGGGCTCAAACCCACGAACCGCGAGATCATGACCTGAGCGAAAGTCGGACGCTTAACCGACTAAGCCACCCGGGCGCCCCATAAAAGTTGTTTTTAAGAAAAGGAAAACTATGTGCTTGTTTGCTTATATGTGTATACAATATTTCTCAAGGATATCCCAAAACTTGTAATATGGTTGCCTTTGGGGAGAGGTAGGTGCTGGGGAGAGGAGAATGGGAAGGAGATATTTTACAATCTACCATTTTGTAACCTTGGAATATTTAACCTATTTGTACTATTTATTTAAAAAATTAAGGGGTTCCTGGGTGGCTCAGTCAATTGTGTCTGACTCTTGATTTTGGCGCAGGTTTTGTGTTTGAGCCCCACATCTGTGCAGAGCCTGCCTGGGATTTTCTTTCTCTCTGCCCCTCCACTACTTTTGCTCTGTCTCTCAAAATCAATAAATAAACTTAAAAAAAATTAAACTTAACAAAGTGTCAAATCCTCTCCTCCCAATTCAAGCTTTGAACTAGTAATTTGTCTCTCTAGTAGCAAAGTTGGATAATTCTTGGTGGCCTTAAAAAACATCATCACATATGTTCTAATTTTTTTCCTTCATAGAAATTGAATGATGCTAAAAATATGTCCTGGGGCACCTGGGTGGCTCAGTTGGTTAAGTGTTTGACTCTTGGTTTCAGCTCGGGTCATGATCTTGAGGTTTGTGAGTTTGAGCCCCACATTGGGCTCTTAGCTGACAGTGTGGGGCCTGCTTGGGATTCTCTCTTTCCTCTCTCTCTGCTCCTCCCCTGCTCATGTGCTCTCTCTCTCTCTCTAAATAAACTTTAAAAAGTAAAAAAAAAAAAATATGTCTTGATGAAAATTCTAGCTTTTCAATAAGAGAACTTAGCACTTTTAAGCATTCTTGTTGACATAAATGAATACAAAAAGATTAGCAATAATTAGGATGTGAGTTCTTTTTGGTAAAGATATGGTATGTCATACATGCTGTTTGCAGCTTGTAAGTTTCACTTCATTTATTGTCATCATGTCAGAATAAATAAATCTACCTTTTTAAAAAAATTTTTACAAATGTATTTTTATTTGAGAGAACATGTGTGCACACATTCATGTGCAAGGGAGGGGTAGAGGGAGAAGGAGGGAGAGAATCTTAAGCAGGTTTCATGCTCAGTGAGGAGTCCAACGCAGGGCTGTATCTCACAACCATGAGATCATGATCTGAGCAGTAATGCAGTCAGATACTTAACTGACTGAGCCACCTAGGAGTCCCTTACCTTGTCATTTTTAATGACTTCATAGTATCTGGTATTGTAGGCACTATAATTTAACTATTCCCCAATTGATGAGCATTTTGGCAATATCCAGTGTTTTACAAACAGTGCTGCTGAGAAATTCTCCAATATAGCTTTGGACACTTATGCCAGTATTTCTGTGAGATGGACATCTAGAATGGAAATTGGTAGGTCAACATAAATGCAGGTTTAAAATTATAATAAGTAAGTACCATTTTCCTTTTTTGGTTTTTGCCTTTTCTTTTCCTCTTTCCCTCTCCCCATTCCTTCATTTGTTATGTTAAGGAAGCTTTTGCCAATCCAACATTATAAATGTATTCCCCCAGGTTTTCTTCTAGTTCTTTCATGGCTCCGGTTTTTACACTTAAATCTTCATTCTACCTAGAATTTATTTTGATGTAAACTCCAGTTATTACTTATTTGTAAGTAACTGAATTTTATTTTTCTTCAAATGGTTAGTTTTTCTGAGAGTTTGAGAGAGAGAGAGAGAGAGAGAGAGCATGAGCTGGGGAGGGGCAGAGAGAGAATCCCAAGTAGGCTCTGCGCTGTCAGTGCAGAGGTCGATATGAGGCTTGATCTCACAAACCATGAGATCATGACCTGAGCCAAAATTAAGAGTCAGACACCTAACCACCTGAGCCATCCTGGAACCCCTTGATCATTTCTTCTTGAAGTTGTTACTAAACATTGTCTTTTTGTTGCTATCATGGTCTTTTATTTTACCATGATAATTTATTTCAGTGGTATGCTTCATAACTTTTGTAACCATGTGACCAGAATACAGGTATCCAGGGAGGTAGCTGGCGATAGCTAGAGGGATGGCAGAAGCCAAGTCATTAGGGGTTGAGCACTATGCTAGTAGTTTGAAATTTATCTTGAAAAAATACTGGAGGATCCTAGGGAGGATGGTGATATAACCTCTAAGATCTGACATTTTTCTTTCTGAGTGCCTGTCAGTCACTATGCTAAACTTTCTATAAATGTTGTCATATTTTAATCCTTACAGCTGGCCCTTTCTTACAGATGATTTGATCATATTTACATTTTAGAATAATCATTTGGGTGCTAATGTGAAAGATGGATTCTTAGAAAGCTTTTATGGTGAGAGATAATATTAGAAGTGTTGAAGCCTAAATGATAGAAATGGAGAGAGAGAGAGAACTAGAAATAGAAACATAGAGGTGGACTCTGCAGGTCATGGTAACTAGATGCAGAGATGAGGGAATCATGGCTGACTTCCAGCTTTCTGGCCTGAGCAACAGGATGGTTGGGGGTCCCCTTCCTGTGATGGGGAGCCCGAAG